CACGTTGTGACCATCTTATATATACCAGTCTACCCCCAGTCTAGTAATTTCCCGATAATTCACGAAGGTTCGAGAAAGAAGTGGCGTGATGCTAGTCACGTGACCTTGCTAACGCAACAGCATATAATCTTCTCGATTTCCATTAGTATTGAGTATTTCCATTATTAGTATTCCATTTCTATCATATCGTTCATACAAATTTCCAGTTGTCGTCACAGAATAACTAAATAAACACAAAAAAATGCATAAGAGTTTTATTCTTACGACTTTGAAAGGCAGTTCTTTTGTTCTAGACCAATATTATCGTCTACCATTAGAGTAAATAAAACAAGTGACTATTAATTGTTTCTAAATGCCTAAACTGTTAACTCACGTCGAACTAACCAAAAGCATCTGTCTTGCGAACTGTGGTTTTACTTTTAGCCACCACTGTGTAACAAAGCAAAAAGCTGGCGAAGCATTGGAAACTAGTGCAATAAGCCTTAAACTGATGTCTTGTGAAAGAGTAATTATGATCCTACTTCACCAACTTAAAAAGGGGGTTCTCACCATAGCAAGTGGTTATAATCAATTATATTTGTTACAAGTACTAACCTTATTACGTTTTCAACACTATATTATTTATTTAATCCATTAGGGCAGGGGTTTCTAAACTTTCTCAGCACAAGGCCCCTAGAACAGTCTTTATCCTGCCTGAGACACTCTCCCACCTAATGAGCCTATAGATGCTGAGTACCTTAACCGTATTGTGTATTTGTTACAGCCTCGAGGATCCCAAGATGTCAGATTAGGAATCCCTGACTTGGGTTTTCCAAGAAGTAAAAGGAGTATATACTAGCACTCCATACCCACTGTCGACGACGTTTTTTGTACAATACACAGTTCATCAGGCCTGCTGCATGGAATACAACAAACTCAGTAGTGGTAAGAACACCACAAAAACAATTAGCGTGGTGTGAAGACATAAGTGTTAGACCTAATACTAATCTCATCAAAGTGTGAAAAAAAAGGTGCGACAAAAATAAACAAAAAAAAAAAGATTGAGTGTGCAACTTAAAGGAATGAAATCAAAACTGATGGCCAAACTGTTCAACTTGAGACATGATGGTGGGTAAAATAAAAAACGCGGCCTAGCTAACTAATGAATAAATATTTGCTGTAAAATTCTTATCAATGCTATAAGTGTAGCTACCAGTTTGGCCGCCAATTTTGATTTCATTAATTTAAGTCGCACACTCAATCTTTTTTTGGCTGCACCTTTTTTTCACATCTAAGGTGTTTTGATTAGCTATCATGACTTTTTTGTCAATATAAACCAACAAACCACAGCAAGTAAGAAAGTAACATTCAATATTAATCCACATCACCTTTAGGATCGCAACCCCATTATTCAGAACAGACCTTTACTTTACAGAACCAACCGGATTCTTTAAAATATATTGTGGTAGTTTTCCTCTGTAAAACAGTGTTAATAGCTTCCTTTATAGTAACCCCCATGGAATTTAGATTAACAGTTTCTTGTCATCACCCCCATGCAATCGGTAGAACCGTATCAAGCATCATTATTTATGCTATTTGCTTAAGCTAATATCACGTGACGCGAAACGCTCTTTAATTAGAATAATTTTCATAAAATTTAGTAAATTTGGGCTGAAAAGTTGGCAATGAATAATCACTAATATAACCGTCCACCCATAATGATTCTTTTGAAAACTTGAACTAGAAACTGCAAATCTCGTTTGCTTGGCCTAACCTATACTAATGTAGCTGCACGTCCTTTCACCTTATAGTTTTGCTGCTCTCAATCGGCCGTCTTTAATCAGAATGACAAAAAACTAACAATGGTCCACTTTACTCTTAGGTGAAGTTGTACTAAAAATGTTAGACAGATAGCTCACGTGACTTTTGGCGTAGTCGTGCGGAAAATCTATCTTCAAATCTGAGCGGTTTATGTTGAATAACCTTGCAGATGTGTCTTATATTTACACCAAATGAGACTTCTAACTGTAGGTTGTAAAAATCTATCAGAGTACCAAATTTGATTTTCTATCAAATAAAGTTTCCGTACTTTGGTGCGAAGAAAAAAACAGGAAGAAACTGAATCAAAATTGGAGATGTTATATCTCAGGTATTCCTCTATTAATGGATTGCCTTGAAATTTGGTATGCGAAATAAGAGTCCAGTAGAGCACATCCACAGAAAATATTTGATAGTTTGGATTACCACTGTCCGAGATACAGAAGGTGGAAAATCGCTAAACTATCACACCTGTTAATAACACACAGTGTGTCCTGCAGCAGGTTATTTTGGCCGCACGACACACGGCGTGCCTTGATACATGCATATGTTCTCGGGAAAAGTTTGAGGGACCGAATAAAGAATATAGTTCAAAAACTACTGAATATAATCGCGCTTGCTAACAAAAGCAATCCAAAACATTACACTCTATTTACAATTAACCTTTAATACATAATAAGGAACAAATTATGGTCCCTCGGTGAGACAGCGGTAAGTTTACGTACTTACAACGCTAAAATCTAGAGTTCGATATTCCCCTGTTCTCAAACTTCATTTTATGCATGAAGCCACCAGTAGCGTTTCCGCTTAAATATTTTTGAAAACTTAGCGCTGTGCATAAATATCGTGGAAAATCAACTAGTAATCCAGAAAATACTACAGTTTATTCAAAACATTTTATTATACCTTTTACCCTCCCAATGGGTTAGCGGTAAGTTTACGGATTTATGCCAAAATTATGGAGTTTGATTGAATGTTGTGGACAGAGCACAGATAGTCCATTGTGTAGCTTTTCGCTAAATCAAACGATCATAAATTTCGAGCATTTTTTCTGTTCTATTACTAGTAAAATCCATTCTGTTAATTTTTAGCATAAAATATTAAAAAGACGAGTTACAAGACCGAATTAAGATTACAAACTAGCACACATAAAATAATTAGTTAAATACTAGTCTACAGTCTGCTATTATAGGCCTAGGTTCAAGTGTGATCATATCTGCTTAAGTTTTACTTTTACTTTGAATTTAAAAAGTTTGGATTAACATGTTTATTCACAAGAATAAAAAACTTTTATATTGGATTACAAACAAGCACGTGTAGAAAACGTAGATAAGTTTTAAATTGTCCACCCATTCATTGTTATTATTACAAATGTGTGTAAAACCTCAACTTTTATTTTGTATTAAAACAAATTTTCTATCAAATATGTTTATTCGCAAAGAAAGCTAAAATGTGATATTACAAATCAATATATAAACGAAAAAATATCACAACTGCTTTATTTAATTTCCAAAAACAGGATGTCGGTGCCATAAATCGCACTTGTACAACCTTTTAGATGTGTTAACCTTTTTCTTTCCTTTTTTCATATGAGTATCCAGCTCAAGAGCTGGTGCTTTCCCCCCCCCCCCTTTTAATCCATGCGATATTGGATGGTTAATTTGAATGTTGACTAGCTGCCTTTTCTCTAGCATAGATAGTCCTCGAGTAGCTTTGTGCTAATTCCAACAAACTGTTCGGTTTATCTGTTTTTACTCCTTTCACAATGATGAACAAGCATTTAGTCCCAATGTTTAAGATTTGAAGAAAAAAAAACATTTCTAGTAGTTTCAGTAAATTGGGAAATTTCAAAGTATCAGTAGGAAAGCGTTAATAATAGCTATATAGCCAGTATTCAGTAGAAATTATCATGTCGGGAAGCTCAAATAAACTTTGTGCTCTTCGCTCTTTATCAGTCTCACTAACAGATCACTCTGGAAGATGAAACTCTTTCAAAATGTTAAGTTTCTTGGCTCTAAATTTCGAAGGTCCACAACCTCGGTATGCTTGCGGATTGTGTCATCAACCCGAAATCCCTCTTTTATTTTCTCGCACGTGGCCTCATTGTAGAATTCTTTGATGAATTATTTCTTGGTGATTTAGTCTTGATTCGCTTTTGCACCATTTGTTTTCAGATTAATCAATATAGATTATAATAAAATACCTAGAAAATGTTAGAAGTAAGAATTGGTTATGAAATCATGTTTGATTAAAGGTAACATTTTAACAAGTAATTATACAGTCGTATGTAATTAATGATTTTGATAAACATTTCTTCATTAGTCTGATCTTTACTGCCATGATAGTATGACCTAGGTTCTCATAATCAAGATTC